ACAAGTATTTGCCGGCCCTCTCAGAGTTGATGCCAAAAAGTTTGATTTCCATAACCCGACGCCTATTACATACACTGAGGCCTACAATATCACTAAAAACCTATTCTCGTCGTTGATTTTGAAGCCACCGATTAATGGCGAAGAAGTGGCGAAACTATACTTCACGGGTCTGTCAGATAAGACACATCAGGATGTGCTCAGACTTACCATTGGTATAGCATTTGGCGATTGGGTCAATACGTGTGCGAACATTGGATTCGCAAAAGGCATCTATAAAAAGGATCCAAAAAGTAATGTCTATCAGTATTACTTCAACAGTAAGATAAGTGATTGGAGTCCGTTTTGTGGGCCATGGATGGGGGTGTGTCACGGCAATGATGTGGACCACGTGTTTGGCATACCATTCCTCGATACCAAGCACTTTGTCGATAGGGAACGGGAGATATCGCAACAAATGATGGATATATTTGCAACTTTTGCCAGAACTGGGTTTGTATTCAATCTATCATTTAAAATATTAATAAACTTATTTTACTTTTGATACAATACTTTAAATTAATTTATATATTTTTATAGAAAACCCCCGGCACAGGGAGGCGCTGAGTGGCCCCAGTACTATAGCATTGGTGGTAAGACTATTGCCCCGTATTATGAAGTGACAAATTACCCAAAAAATATTACAAACTTTAATACAGACCTCCAATATACTTATTGCGAGAACCTTTTTAAATCATATGTAGAAAATTGAATTAAATTATTAAAATAAATAGTATTTGAATAAAAATATTTAGATTTAAATACCGTAACAGTTTTTGTCTAAAATACACGTAAAGTATGGATTTTTTATTTCATGTTTATTTAAGTAGACATACTTAAATTTTATATGATTTATATCTAGGTTATAAATGTGATAAACATTTTACGATAATATAAATGTCAAATAAATTATTTATTTAAGTAAAGCAAATATATTATTAATTCCATCATAAATTAATTTGAACAATAAAGTGTTTTATAAAATTACACTGATTACTTTTTGCCGATTGCGTTCAAATCAACGGCATTCCCCTGCGGGGCATAAAGGGAACCGCCGTCTGAGACAAAGTTAATGCCCGTTACGAACGAACACTTATCCGACGCCAAGAATAGTATGATATTCGCGATGTCTATGGCCTCACCCACCCGTCTCAATGGGTAACCCTGTGCCAGCACATGCATGAGCCCATCAAATTGTCCCCTGGTCATTGTGCCCAATGACATACCAAAGTCTGTGCGAACGGCTGCCGGACTAATAATTATATAAATAATAAGTAAATAAAATTTAAACTTTTTTACTTATAAAGTACTAGTAATTGATTTATAGTTTTTAAATACTATTAATATTTTTAAATAGTATTAAATGTTTATTAATTGTTTAAAAAAATTTAAATGTTTACTTGACAATATTGACACGAATACCCTTGGGCCCCAATTCCAGTGCCATACACTTGCTGAACATGTCCAGGGCACTTTTGGACATACCGTATAGAAATCCCATAGCACTCTATATAAAAATAAAATTTCTATTAAATTATAAACTTTTTGTTATTAAGTTTTTCGATACATACGGGTCTAATGCCGGCAATCGCGGACACATTAATGATATTTCCCTTAGTTTTCTCCAAATGCTCGACAGATAATTGAGTCAAATATATGACTGACCGGAGGTTTGTGTTCATAACCGTCTCATACTTGTCGATGAGCTGTGGATCAGCTATTTTGGTGATGTCTCCGTACGCGGCGTTATTCACCAAAACATCCAGTTTTCCGAAAGTTTTAATAGTGGTGTCGACGAGTCGTTTGCAGTCATCCAGTTTACTGATGTCTACGACCACTTCCAGGGCTTTCAAGCCTTTTGGCGATACTTTACGGCACTCTTCGGCGGTTTCCTTCACTGTCTGCGCCTTTCGACCGGTGATCACCACATGAGCCCCGCATTTGGCGAACTCTAAGGCAGCGGCCGCTCCGATACCGGCGCTCGAGCCGGTGATCAGTACTACCTTTCCGTTGAATTCGTCGTAAGTATTAGACATTATTTTCGGTGAAAAAGTATTCAGAAGTTTTGAAAACTATTTATTAAAAGTTATTTGAATTAACTGTTCATATGATGTGTAAGTGTTGTGTGAAAAGCGATTTATATAGTGGAGAGCACAGGTATGTGCTAAACTAATCAAGGTCGCTACCGCTGTTTATTGCTAGTGCATACCGTATATTACGCAAACTCCACTGATATTGTAAATATGCTAGTATCATTAATATTTGCTAAATGTATACTTAAGATAATAGTAATAAAGTTTTAAGCCTAAATATTGTACGTTGGGTGCGGATAAACTAGTAGTGAGTTTGCGTTTTGGTAATTTTAAACTTATGTTGTATATTTAAGAATAATAGTTTGAAATAAATTAAATTTCTATTATTTATATTAAATTTAATTTGCTGTAATACAGGAATTATTATTTAAAAATATATTAATTAAAGTTGATTTTACAATTTTCATACTCAATTAATTCCCACTATTGCTTGCTATATTACCAACATAATTTTCAATCCACAACTACCCCTTAAACGAGTAATCAGACAATGAAAATATAATAAATAAATGTGTTTGGTTAATGCCAGTTATTGTAACTTAGTAAATTGTAATATACAAACTATTTTCATTTGTTTAGCGTAAACAACATAATATACTCTTGATATTATACATTATGCATATTAGCATAATTATTCCATTGATAATTTAAATTAATAATAAATATATACAATTGAATTATAACTACATGCATAGTAACACATATTATAAATTTATTAAACATAGAATAAATTTTGTATAAATTATATTTTATAAATAACTGTATATAAAATAAAACTATTCCATAATAAAATAATTTAAACAAAGTAGAATTGCTCAAATACAGTAAACTAAATAGTTAAATTAAATGTTAGCATGTGAATTTGTTTGTACACCTTAGCGATTGTATACCGTAATGTTGTTTGTGACATATGATTGCAATCTGTTTTAATAACTAAAATTAATTTTTAATAATCTTATAAATTATGCTACTAAATTGATTATATGATAATATAATATAATACCATGGAAATGTTATGTTTTCATATAATAAATTAACATAAACCTTGAATATGTAGTATTCAGTTTATTATATTAGGTTATTATTTCATTTGTGGTACCTATTGAAAAAGTTTGAAAAACAGTAACTTTTTAATTAGTGAATTAATAATTAGCCATAATTAATTAGTGGTTTAAAAATATAATTGTTTAGAATATATCACATTTAATTAAAAAACTTTGTAAAATTACAAAGATGGTAAATTATTTATTTGTAAATTTTTAATTAAGTTAATCCAAATATAATTTAAGTGATTTATCATAACTATGTAATTTCTTTATTATTATTCAATTGTATTTTAATCGACAAGGTTTGATTAATAAACTATTATTATTATTATTATTATTATACCGGGAATGGTGTGCGTATATTTCATATTCAATGTATAAATAACACATAAAAAGTTTATATTATATTACGAATTAAAGTTTTAAAAATTAAACTCAATTCAAAACATATCTTAATGGCTAACTTATTATATATTTTCACAACTTATATTATTTTCAAATTAAGAAGTTTATTTTATACAATATATAATTTTTGGTTATATATTATTAATATTTTAAAAAGTAAAATTCATTACAACTTTCAATCGTTTATGAAAATATGTGCAAAAGTGTTGTGTCTTTTAGTGCTATTCTACGGAGGAATAGAAGTGACAAAAGAGTACTTCAGTTATCCATATGTTTATCGACT